GGAACGGCCCGTTTCACTTTTGAAACGGCCCATTCCGGGCAATCAATTGGGCGAGAGGCCCCAACGATTTTGGGCTATTACGGAATAAATTTAAATTCAGTATAAAAATAATAAAAAAATGATTGTAAAAACTAAAATTAAATAACTTAGTTAAAAAATGACTATAATTAATAATTTAATGAAATTTGTTTAAAATTTTTTTAAAATAAATAATAAAATAAAATCCTTCCTTAATGAGTCCCAAATCCGTCCCGCGCCTTGCAAATAATTTTCGCTCTGTCTCCCGGAAAAATTAGGAGTCCGCCGCCCCTCCTAAGGTTAGGGTTTCAATTCCATTCCCAAATGTCTCTCTATTCTCTTCCTCACTCAATGTCTTTCTACTCCATTCTCTTTCTGGCTTGGCGTGCTCCTTTGCCTTCTTTATTTTTACTTTCTTGCTCGTGTTGCTCCTATTTTGTTGCATTTTCACATTTTCTTTTCATTTTTGTTTGATTGCATTCCTGTGCAGTTATTGGGATGAACGTGTTTATGGAATGAATATGTTGTGCTTTGTTTTCGCCATCCATGTCAGGTGCGTGTAGAGGTGGGTGTGGAAATGTTCCAAAAACATTTGGTTTGATTAGTTTTTTTATTTTTATTTTTTATTATGGTTGTTAATTATTTAATAAAATTTATATATTAATATACTTTTACAAAATTTTATTTTTACTAACCCTTCAAATGGAGCCCAGGCAACAGTTCTAATAGGAACTGTATCCGCACCAAAACAAAGCACGGGCTTTGAATCTGTAGATTGCAAATTTAGTAAATAAACAATAAAGCATAAACTTATTTTTCAATATAGCTACCTGCTCTAACAACCAAATAGGTAAACATGAGACACACATAAAGTAACAAAATTATTACCCTCGCATTTTGATGAAGAATTTGTACAAAATTTCCACAAAGCCACCTATATAAATATAAAGCAAATTATATTAAAAGTGATATATATTGTGAAAAAAGGGTTTCAGACAACAATATGCTGATATTTTAAAACAACAATGCTATTATGGAAAAAAAATTTCAATGTTTTCTCCGTTTTCCATAACGAAACATTATGGAAAAATATAGTTCCTATTTGTTAAAAAGCAAGGTAAACATCAATTTAGAGAAGGTAAAGTACAAATAATTGAACCTTTAGGGAATTATACCATTCCATCATGGCAGCCAGCAAGTAAATAGTCATGAGGCGGCTTAACTGACCACTCCACTGTCAGTGGAATGCTATGAGATAAAACAATAGAGTAAATTAAATCACATAGCCAGGCTACTTGAAAGCATAAATTAAAAAGCATCATGTAAATTCAATAACATTTTGCAGCTGCATGAATTTAACCAGTAGAAGCCAACAATTGGATCATGTGGCAAGACCTCTATGACATAGTTCAGCCAATTAGATTTCCTTCTTCCTTATTATCCTCCAAAATCCTAATGAATGGCAAAATGATGCAGTTGATGTTGACAACTTTATTTAAATTCTTAAATATACAAAAGAGAACCATTTGGCCACTAAAATATTTCTTGCAAGGTATTGAATCATTCTCGCATATTTATGACATTGTAACCTTTCATGTATTGTTAAAGGTACAGCCCCTGTGACTTAGACACCTTTGTTTCCTCTGCTGATCTAGAATCATTTTGCCACTTTAGATAGAAGTAAAATGACTTGCATCATTCATAGGTACATTCCTGCCGTGTTTCTGCACGTAATTCTTTGATGTCTAAATTTTGGACTAGATAGATAGTGAATTTTCACTATTCAACAGGGGAAATGATAATTTTGGGAAAGTGGTTGGGGGAGGTTAGACTTTTGTGTATCATTATTTAAGCAGATTTTTAAAAAGTTGCTTTTATGCATCCATTTTGAACTTCTTTGTCTGAGGAAATTTTAGTTACAACTTCTAAAGCTGTTGTGTGCGCCATCTTGGATCTTCATTGTCATCCATTTTGGACTAGTCTTGTTTTGATGCATAAATGATACATCAATCTTAATGATGTTTTATCCCCTGTAAATTCAGCTGGACTCATTTCTTCTTTGTTTAATTGTGTAACTTAGCAATTTCTATATTTTGTGTTATCTTCTCTGTCTAATGAAATCGTTGCTGCTAGTAAAGGATATATACTCTCCAATTTGACAGCTGAAGTCTGCATTCTCTAACGATAGGGGACATCACATTCTTGTTGCATATTTTAGCTTCAGTAGAATTGTTGTGGTTTGTTAATATATCCTGTGATGCATGATGTGCAGGGTTCTAAGAGTGAGGAGCTTGCTGCCGCATCAAGACTTGAGGATGATGTTAGTTTTTATCAAACTGTGAATCCTAATTTTTAATTTTATTTTTTTTTTAAAAAAATTAACATATTTTCTTTAATTATGCATAATTCTTAAATATAAAAGTTTCATAAATAAAATTTAATATTTTGAGAGGGAACAATTCGTTACAAATTTTTTCACAAAATATTTTAACCTATTTGTGACGGAATTTTGAGAGGGAAAAATCCGTCACTAAATTTTTTCATTTTAGTGACGAAATTTGTGACGGATTTTTTAGAGACGAAGTTCATTCCGTCACAAAATCCGTCACAAACATTTTTTTT